ATGTATGTATGTATCTATGTATCTATGTATATATGTATGTATGTATGTATGTATGTATGTATGTATGTATGTGTGTGTGTGTATGTATGTATGTATGTATGCAAGTAAGTATGCATATGTGTATGTTGCATGTGGGTATGTCTTCATATGCATATATACATATATATATATATATATTATATATATATATATGTAGTATGTGTTTGCAATACCACATAATGTATATGTATATGTACACACACTTATTTTATATACATGTATGCAAATATGTATATAAATACTCAAATATGTTTTGTACATATGTGTAAGTATATATATATATATTATATGTGTCATGACAATTGCAGAGTTCAAATGTTTACACTACAACACACGCTGGTTTAATGGACAATATAATACAATCTGAGCGAACATGGTGCAACATATTATGTGAATATGATGTTCTATGTTATTCGGTTGACTGTCATTTGTCAGAGAAGGTTGACCATGGTTACCTGGCGGCCTCGGCAGAGCGAGAGGGAAAATACAATTAGATCAAGTTATGTACTACACTACATTAAGATACCGATGTTTGTTCTTTATTTCTGTTCATGTACTTACTTTTACATACCTGCATACATACATACATACATACATACATACATACATACATACGTACATACATACATACATACCTACGTACGTACATACATACATACATACATACATACAGAACACATATAGACATATCTCAAGTGAACCTAGAGTCCAGATCTAGAGTCTAGAGATCGTGTCTTAGCGGAAAGGACTCGGTGACCACAGCTGCTCTCGCCTCGGAAATCTCCGCATGCCATTCGGCCGCTGCTGCAGAGGCCCCGTTCCATTCTTGTAAGCATCCTCCGAAACGAAAGCAGGTTGAACAAAACCAGGGACCAGATGATTCTGCTCTGTCCGTTGCGTTGCGCGACCATGCGACCGACAGTCGCCATGCATTTCAGTCAGCCTCGCAGGCAGCAGCCAAAGACACAGAAACTGAAGTGGCCGAGACAGAGCAGGACAGTCATGTTTCTGGGTGTAGAGTTTAGGAATGCCTTTACGGTTTCAACTCGAGTCTCAGCGAAAGTGGCTCCTGCTCCCTTCACAGGAACTCGAGCGAAAGCGGGGCCTTGCCAAGGACGTTATCCAGGCTTTGAGCCGCGCTTTTCCAGTGAGACGGTATGCGCGAAGCGTTTACGCCCCCCCTCGGCCACAGGAGACGGCGGCATTGCAAAAGCGCCGTTTGAAGGCCTCGGACGCCGAAGCATCACTGAAATGCCTCGCCGAGGGCACTTGGGCCCGTGAGGAGGAGCCTTCGAGTAGTTATGGGAGTTGTGGCTTCACTTGAACCGTGCTCTGAGTCGGGTAGTGTGCTACGCGTTCTCACAACGATGATGACAGCGATGGTGGCGCTGGTTGTGCCGATGGTGTTGGTGGTCATGGCATCTTCAGGGGGATGTGCAAGAGGAAGTGTTGGGAGGCTGGTTGTTCGGCCATGATCACGACCAGTCAGCCTCCGCCTACAACTCCTCTTCCTTCGACTCTTCGGCAGCAGCAGCAGCATCATCAAGATCGCCGTCGTCGTCATCATCACCACCGTCATCACCGTCATCCACATCTGAGTATCCGATAAGCAAGGCCATATGTCCCAGGGTGCGGAACGATTCCGGGTCTGTCGACCTCGCCACCATCACCATCATGATCATCATCATCACCTCCTCCTCCTCCTCCCCACCATGAGTCGGCATCACCATTGGAATCAACACCACCGCCACCACCATCATCACCCTCACAGTCCTTCTCGTCAGCATTCCTCATCACGATCATGTCCTCTTCATCATCACTCAATGATTTATTGTCGTCACCGCTATCAGTACGACGCGTAGGTTGCAAACTAAATCCAAGCAGACCAAGCGATGCGGAATCCCGATAAGCCTGCGTTGCTCGACCGGGCTGCCGCAACCCGCTAAACACCGAAAACCCGGGAAGTGTGGTTGCTTCAAGCGCGATTCCAGAAAGGACAAAACTCAGCCGCGACCAAGAAATCCCCAAAACTCCCTGTGCGCGCGGCATCACGCGGCCTCGGTCGAACACCAACAAATCCGACTGTGCTCAGAAAATCTGATCAACCGATCAATCCGACGGCGTCCGAGACAACCTGAAAACAACCGCTGAAATGCTACACCGACCATGCTCGATACAACCCGTTAAGGAGCTTTGTCCGCATCCCTCAATGTCGAAGAATTCGCTTAGGCCGGCATCGCACAACTGTCCCTCTCAGGCGTAGGAGTTGTCCGAGTCTACGGGTTGAAGAGTTTGTGTGTTGAGTCTAGGCGGTCTGTCTCCAGTCTCGGCCTCATCGCGTAAGTCTAACCTGTTGTCTTTGGCCTGTCCTCTCGGTTTATTCGTTGACAATTCGAACCTGTTGGAGCAAGGTTGACTGAGGGTTGTTTCTGTTCCCAGTTGACGCCGTCTAGGACGAGTCTTCTGGGTCAAAGGGTGTTGGAGATCGTTTCATAGTTAGTTACAAGTGTTGGCCTTGGCCCTAAACATGTGCCCTGCATCCTCGAGCTCCAAGCTTCGAGTCAGCAGGGTCGCAGTGGTTCAGGGTTTGTCCTGTAGGTGCAGTGCTTGTCGTTTGCGAGAGGGCCCTTTCTTTGGGTCAGTGCATTGGGGGGGAGGGTGGGATACGCGAGAACAGGGGTTTCCTATCAGAAGGCCATCCCACCGGAGCAGGCAATACAAATACCATCATCACCTTTTCGAGCAACAATAACTTAGATTATTGAATTAATTTAGGGAGGTTCCGATGGGGGGTTACTGAGGGGAGAAAAGGCGGCCAGCATCCAACAGGCTAGGGGGTAAAGTCTACGAGCTGGCTACTGAGCAGTTTTCCTGGATGATTGAGTCGAGGAGTGGTGGGAGTGCTTCGCTGCACTGCAGCAGCACCTCCTAGACACAGGTGGGCCTTTGCCTTCAGCATCCCTTTCATCCGGTTCGGCTTTCATCATGTCATACGAGGTTTCAGATGGACAGCTGTCTGAACTATCGAGATGCCGTGTCAGGCGCTGAAAATTCCCTTCTGACTGCGGCGACCCTGGCACTCAAGAAGAAGCCGGACGAGCGGAGCAGCTTTCATGTTGTCGCCTGATACCCAGAAATTTACGAAAGTATGCATGCCGTATGGCTGTTTGTGCCACAAATCGGTCGAGGCGGTCGAAGGAGTTGGCAATTTCTTCCGCCAGCAGCTCGAAACGGCCGACCAAGAGCTGGTCCAGCAGTCGCGGTTGGAGATGGAGGCCGAAAAAGCATGCTGGCATACCATGCTTCGGCTACTTCGATCATTCTAGCGGTGTGTGTGCAGCGCGGGCGTACCTAGTTGCCGATGAGCATCCGCAGGCAGAGGCGACAATACTGGGCATCGAGGCCGATGATGTGAGGGCGAGATGTGCAACTACACGGAAGGGAAGTACCAACAACAATCGAAGCATGATCATCGCAAGCTTTACACACTCACACTACTGCGCTGTTCGTCATGAGTTTCAGTTGATTGCTTCTCTCAGGCCCTGCTCACTGCGACGAGGCAGCGAGCGTGCCAGCGCCGCGAGGCCTCTGTGCTGAAGGATTGGGTTGCCGAGTTACCGGTGCTGCACCGTTCAGTGCGACACGCTCAGGCGGCGGATGCTGGTGCGGCTTCCAAGGAACGATTTTGCCCCTTGGGTGCTTGACCCACTCGGTAGGCCTAAAGCTAGAAGGTCACACCCAGAAAATACCTAAAGTTGTAAAGACGCATCAAGCCCGTGGCAGGAGTCCATGCAGAGCGCGGCCCGCCAGGCAGAGAAATGCCTGCAGGCCTCTAAAGAGGCGGTGGCGCAGAAGCAGCAAGAGCAGGCCCCTTGCTGCATCAGAACATTAAAGTGGCAACCCTCAGCCTTTCTTTTCGCAGTTTTTTGACTGACTCTCGACTGCTGCAGCTTCTGATGCACTGCGACGATATCGAATGTAGGACCGGTGCTGACAACGATATCATGACATGAACGGTGCACTTTTACGTTCAAGTTGAGGGCAGTCTTGTTTCCCTTCTCTCTTTCCTGGCCGTTTGATGCTTAACTCGAGTCAGGTCGACCTGGAAGGACGGCTAACACCCATCAATGAGGCCCGATGAATGAGAGCTCGATCCGTGAAGGAATGGCTGCACCAAGTACTTGGTACCGCACTTCCATACCAGGCTCTGGAACTGGTGGGTGCGTGGATGGCGGGAAACGCCCTTCCAAGCGCTGTGGAGGCAAGAGTGCCGCAGTGTCTACATGTGCAGCAAGTGTCTCTGAATTCCCAACATTGGATGCCGCATAAAACGTCGGGCACAGGTCCCCCTTCCGCTGCAAAGCCCTGTGCCAGAGGAGGCCGAGGCTTTGGGGAAACTTGTGCCCATTCTGCCTGGTTTAGAGAGCACTGTGTTTTGGGCATGACTATTCTTGCGCTGGTGTTACTCCTGCGGCGGCGACGACCACAGCCTGCTACTACTGCTGCTGCTACTGCTACCATACTGCTACTACGACGACGACTAATACCTACTACATACTACATACTACTGCTGCTGCTGCTGCTACCACTACCACTACCACTACCACTACCACTACCATTACCACTACCACCACCACCACCACCACCACCACCACGACTACTACTACTACTACTACTACTACTCCTACTAC